TCACAAGCGGGCACTGTGATCGATGCCTATAAATTAGTTTATTTTATTTTGGAACAAAGAAAAAAGCCAAATTGAGTAGGTCGTTATATAGATTCACCGAAATGTTGCTGTAAGGGATTACCTTTCTCCTGTTTCGTGTTAGAGGAGCTATGTATTACAATCGGGGCATAGAAACTGGCCTCCTGTTTGAGGTCTTCAGCCTTTTCCTCGCTTCCGCAGTCTGCCCTGGTAAATGCTGAGACAGCGCCTTAAATTGGGCCATGACTTCTCTTCTCCACTTCCTTTCCGATCCAGTAATCAACCTGTCTTTCAAATGTGTACAGCCTCAATCATTAGAAGTGTCATTAAACAAGCCAAGTGGAAACAAACGAACTTCCACTTGGTGCGAATGCATCGGAATTAGAAACTGTATTAGCGACTGAAGCAACTCGTTTGAAAGTCCACTGCCTCATGAGTCGGAGAAAACCTGCCCCCGTGCCACTTTGTGCAACACATATAGCACATGTCCTGACGTAGCCTCGAACCCGGACCGTCGTGGTGGGAAATCAGCGACTACCCGCCTGAGCTATGGCACGGCCAACTAAACTCTAAGCCATGAAGATGTGTGCAGGTGTGAAGATATATCTCCAGGCATTCATAACCTCGGAACTAAACGATAGCGCGTGATCAGCTTAACGTTCCAGTCCGTTCCTTGTTCTTTATCTTACACCGCTGTCAGCATTACGACTGTATGGTGTGGGGTGGTAGGATGGATAATGAATGAGTTGAAAATAATTTGCAAGGATCGATCGAAGAGAGCTCTTATTCTTGCACTTGCCTCGAGTGTCTGATGAAAACAACGAAAATCTTCCCGTGTCTCAGCTGCATTTTGAACCGAGCCCCTTCCAACTACTAGCCCTCAGTGTTACCGCTACAGTAACCTGATCAGTTCCAGCAACTTTATTCCAAGGGAAGTGGTCTCAGGTACCCATTTTATAGGAGGCTGGGTGGGCGCCAGAGTGGGTCTGGAACGGGGTCCACTCAGCCTTGTGACGATAATTCAGGAGCTATTTTAAGGAAATAGCGGCTCCGTTCTAGAAAACCGAAACTGACGGCCCCGGGGATTCGTTGCGCTGATCACATGACACTCTCTATCCGTTAAAGTTCGCACTAACGTCGCTGACAAGCGCCGGTCGCTCAGTCGGTATAGTTCGCTTGCGGACTAAACCCACGGAGTTTGTTTGTTTGGGTGGGCGCCAGAGCCCGCCTGAATATAGTGGGGAAGAAAAGATATTTGTGCCCCTGGCGGGAATTTAACCCCGGCTGCCCAGTGACCAAAACCAAGAAATCAATTTCATCGCGCATAGAGGCGTGGATTCAAGGTGAAGTTCACCTGTGTCTCCAGCTGGCTTGCAGTCACTTGAACTTGTGCTGTGAGGTCGTGTTTACATTTCACGTCCATTGAACGCGACTCATATGTCTGCAGCAAATCCTGTTTGAAACGTCGGGTCATAGCCAAGGTCAATGCGACTAGTAAGAAAGTGCTACTGACCAGTAGCGAAGTGCTTGTCCTTTCTCCTTTTTAGAAGAAGAAAGTTTAAGTTGCACTTGTTCTGTAACAGCTCCAAAGAAAATAAGCGTACTTCAAGACGTAAACTACATGCCGCGAGGATGTACTGGAGAAAGGAGATTTACCGCCATCATTCTTGACCTCGGGAGTAGCCGGAGGTGAATGGCCAGCTTCACGCCCCAGATTTACTTTTTACCCCGGGGGAGGAGCCTCAGGTACCATTGGATAGGAGGTTGGGTGAGCCCCAGAGCCGGTCTAGACCGTCTAGACGCTGTGGAGTAGAGAAAAGTGTTTTGCCTTGATAATCGAACAGCGGCCGGGAATTTCGCAGCGCGTCGCTATACCGACTAATCTGTACCGGTTCTTTAAGACATCGGACTAGTAACAAAATCCATCTACGCTACTAATCACGCTAAGACATACATCGTGTAGGCAACATTACGAAAGAAAAGTCCTGTGTAAGTACGTCTGAATTTTCCACAGGCGAATGAATATCGGTGTGTGTTGAAAATAGAATCTAGTAACTTTCTAGTGACATAGCTGTACATGCCACCCTCTGATGGTGAGATCCGCTTTCCCAGAATAGATGGGATGTACGGAACTTTAGAACAACGCCCGAACGGGTTGGTGTAGCGGTAAAGCTCCACATTTGTATACGGGAACTTTCCTGTAACAATTTTTCGTGATCATTGACAGTCCCTCGCCGCAAACGCCGGGATAATACCTCGATTGGTCAACGATCGCGTGCTTCAACTTTCAATACTTCATTAGTCCGTCATTCTACCACTGGACTCTACATTGTTTAGCTACTGAAAGCGTCGTAATGCAACCGAAAGAAGAAAAAAAAACAGACGAATTACAGACCGGAACCTGAGGCCATGCCTCAGGTATCACTTTCGTATAAAGTTTCAAACCCTGTTCTGTCGCTCTAAAACAGGTTCAAGTCTGTATGTTCGTGCATCAATGCATGGAACCAGCGGGGGTACATCAGTTGTACTGTGCCCTGGATTCCATGCGGATGCCACGGTTCTTTCTCACCAGCAAATGGCGCCAAACTAAAAGAAATGTACATTCATCTAAGAGGCTGCTTCAGTCTTTACAAATAGGCGGCTGCAGGGATTTTGCTTCTTCCGTGTCGTTAGGTCTGTGTTTAATGACAAGAAAGTACGAGTTTTTGGTCCATCTCAACATACCATCCTGATATATGCCTGCAAGAGCAGAGGAAAACCACGACCATGTCAGGTTGAGAGACAGATCTGCTGCGACACGAAACTTATCCCCCCCCCCCGAAAAGAAGTTCAGTGACTCTAACGTTTTATAACGAAAGAAGCAGTTGAGTAGATTCGGGAAATCTTACCCTCGAATCATCACTCCGAATTCTCTTACTGAGGACTTCGTGGTTTTGTTAAGTCTCTGAACGAACTGACTTACCGCAAACAATGCCAGGACCAATTCCTTACATGTCATTCAGTCATTATCATCCACTGTTAAGGTCATAATTTATGCACAGCCAAAGGGCCGGGACATTGCAGTTGGTATAGCGACTGGTTATGGGCTGAATGACCGAGGGATTGGAGTTCGGGTCCCAGTAGGATCAAGAATGTTCTCTTCACAGCGTCCAGACAAGCTCTGGGGACCACCCAGCATCCTATGCAATGGGTATCGGGAGCTCTTTCCCAGCAGGTAAAGTGGCAGGGGTTTGAAGCTGACCACTCACCTCCAAATAGTGAAGAAATCAAGAAAATATGGATCTATATACCCACTCCCCCATAAGTCTTCATGGCGTAGTGCTAAATTAGTTAAGCACAGAGACAACTTTACCTTTTACACTGCAACATGAGCTGATATGAAAGTGTAATTTTATTGTAAAAAGTCATATAGAAACTGAATCAATACAGATAACACAACATATATACATAAACATGAACACATTGTCAAAGCCTTCAGCGTGTCACGAACGGAATGTTCCGCCTACATCTGTAGAACTGGAACATGTATAGGGTTCAGCGTCAAGCATTGTTACAGAGTTTCCACCTGTACTCACACATGAACTTCAAATTCAGTTTTGTTCTCATACTTACTGTGAGCTGCTCAGAAATAAATTAAAACACCCATCACACGATTACTTTAGCAATCATTTAAATTGTTCGTCAAACACTTCTTCTTCTTCTTCTTTGTGGCACTCTACGCATTTGCGGATAATCGAAGTCATTACTAATCCATTTTCCTGAAGTTATTTCAACTTTCCTCCTCTCCTAGTTATAAACCGTGGAAAGAGGTATTCAGTATTATACTCGTAGACCTTCATTCTATGAGTTGTAACGCTTCGACTCCTCGAAATAGATATGTTACAAGCTGAAATTAATTTTGCGTACTATGATTCGTTGTTCTACATTAATTTAGTGTGGCGTTGGGTGAGGTGCAATGACACAACTAGAAAGTATATAAACAAGAGTGAAAAGTGAATCTTCACATTGTAACCCTTTCCCTGTCGGTAAACTGACAGCATTAAAAAGTTTGTCAAATCTCCAGAGACGAGAGGACCGATACATAGAGGCTGGTTTCGTGTTCCATGTACTTCAAATATACGTCAAAAGATGGCAGAGCCAAACAGCATCTTTAGTTTATAGTATGCTTACATATACCGCTTGTACGAAACTGTACGACAATTCTGCAGTACTGGGGCTCGCAATTAAAGGGTTAAGGACATTTCTCAGTGAAGGGATCAACAAATGCTACAAAAATCGCATTCCTGAGACTGGATTGTCAACAGATACTTTTGGAATGTAATAAAGGCAACATTGTCATGAGAAACACGAAACGGGGATGGAGGAAAACCTCACGCATTCTTAAACCCGAAACTAGATACGAGAGACTTGTACGCCATTTCTCAATCTTTACTGCCGGAAACTAGAGATTTATTTACACAAATGCATGGTACAGACTGCTGTGAAAAGATGCTTTCAATTCAATAATTCTAGAGCTCCTTTTTAATTACCCAGAAAAATATTCGCTTTCCTCTACAACTTTCTTTCGAAATAATTGTCGACTAGACACATATTTAGTGGGATAATTTTCCAAATCTACCTTGAAAAAAAAACCTAGGCTTCTTCTTTGTAATTTGTATGTATATTTCCCTTGGCACTACAGCCCCAGTGGGCCTAGGCCTACCTCCATGAACTTCTCCGTTCACTTCGGTTTTTCTAGATCTTACACATACGGTAGGACTCCTTGGGCGGGTGATCAGCTCGTCGCAAGGCCTCTACCTGTAGACAAACACAGAAAAACGCACACAAACATCCATGCCCTGAGCGGGATTCGAACACACAATCTCGGCTTCCGAGCGAGCGAAGACAGTGCATGCCTTAGACCGCTCGGCTACCGTGACCGGCAATTTGTATGTATGAGAGAAATCATCATAGACACTTCCATGATGGAAAAACACATGGTGTTTAAATTCACTGTAAATATTGAGTTATATTGAAATATACATATAACAAAGTTTTTTTTTTTATTATTTTGCTTCTCCTTTGCGCGATCATCTCACTTTCATTGCCTTCGTTCAAATGCATTTTCTTTGAGGTTTATTTTACATCGCACAATATATCTAGACTACATACATTTAAATGGTAGACTGATGAATTTGAAAGGATTTGGAAGGAAACGGTCCTGGTATAATTTAGGTAATATCCCGGAATATGCGTGGAGGGATTAAAGAAAACCACGAAAAATCTCAGGCATGATATTTGAAGTCCCAGCCGAGATTCGAACCGAGTATGTCCACCTCTTCACTAGACTGCTCGGCCGTAGAGTCATTCAAGTGAAATAAAGTGAAGGGTGAAAGGAAACTGATGGGAGTCCCTGTTCCCTGAAAGTATGCCAGCCTACAAAAGATGGCTGCAGTTCGATAAGTGGCGCGGACCTCAAATCAGCGCTACGGTGCACATTACTCAATTCCAAAGAGTCAAGTGATGAAGTCACAGAACCTAAAACGGCCCGGGTCCTTGCCTGTAGCTGATACCAGGACTGGGGAAGTGACGTGTGGGGAAGAGGAAGCTCCCTCCACTTGTCAAAGCTTTGAGAGAAACTGACCCATTGGACTTGACGCCGGAGCTGAAGACTGGTCTCTGCGGCTTCGACTGTTGCTGCTGCAGTGCGTTGTAAGAATTGATCCCGTCATTCGTCAAAGAGACGGAAGGCTGTTGATCGTAGAGGAAGTCCGGTTCCTTGCCTTGGTACACTGCCGCTGGGATGGTGGTATAGCTTTGTAATTCCTTGGGGATGGGATTGTAGCCTTGTTGAAGGGTGTACACGGCACTTGCTGCTGCTGGTGGTTGCTGCTGGTAGGCAAGCTGTGACACTCGCAGATCGTGTTGTGGTGGTGTGTTTGCTTCTGAGGGAAGTGTGGGAACTTCCTTCTGGGTAGAGGAATGGACAACTTTGGGAGGTCCAAGGGCTGTAGCCGGCGGGTTGCTGTAGATCAAAGGCGTTGGGGGAGCTCGCACGAACTGGAAGCCACTGTAGCCACCCGGATGCAGGTAGAACTGTTGAGGCTCGATCGGTATGCTCTGGTGTTGAGGCGAGATGTAAGCAACATGGGGCACGATGCCTAGATAGTCCCCATGAAGACCGTTATTTGTCAGGTACAGTGCTACAGCGCCGGCTGTTGGCGGAGCCTGGAACTGCACCTGAGGTTGGTAAGCCTGCAGCTGCTGATGGACCGGGTAGTTGAGTTGCTGATTGCCTGTGTATTCTGGGTCCCTGGCCGGCTGTTGGGGCTTGACTTGCTGTTGTTGTTGCTGCTGCTGTTGTTTCTGTGCCTGTTTAGCCCTTAGGTAGTCTCGCTCAATATCTTCAAGTTTTACTTGCTTTTCGACTGCCAACGTCACATCCATAAAGAGGATGATGGCAAGCAGCGCTGTGGGAAAAATCTGAAACAAAGCAGAACGGTCATAGAATATTTGTGCGGCTTGTAGCAGGAAGCAATTTCGGTTCTCTTGAACAAAAAACAAGATAATGAAACCAGGTCCTTGTACATTTTTTTTTTCGGAATCACATGCAACGTAAATAGCATCGTCGGTCGCTACAGCTTCAGTAAATAATTCATGAACCAGCCGTCAAAGGCAGGTTCGTGTTGGAAACAATGGCACAGTACTGGTAGTGTACACATAGCTAAACCCGTTTCTTGAAATCGGCGAATATGATAACAGGAACAGCATTAAAATTCATAACTCCCAGGAATCAAACCTCTTTTAAGCTTATTATGACCGCCTCCCTGGTCTAGTGGTCACAGTTCCTGGCTACTGACCCAGAGGTCCGGGTTCGATTCCCGGCGCTACCAGATTTTCTGAGAAGTAGTGAATGTGGAACGGGGTCCACTCAGCCTCATGAGGATAATTGAGGAGCTACTTCGAGGAAATAGAGGCTCCGGTCTAGAAAAGAAATTAACGGCCTTGCGAATCAGTTGTGCTGACCAAGCGACACCCTCTATCCGCTAAAGTTGTCACTAACTTCACCGACAAGCGGTGGTCGCTCGGTCGGTATAGTTCGCTTGAGGACTACAGGCCACGGAGTTTTTGTTTGTGAACATGAACTGAAGAAACGACACTTTCCGAAGATGTGGAACATCAGAAAGTTTTAGGAATTCACATTACGTGGCGGTAGTGTCGCTGCAAACTTAGGTTTTGGCTCGGCTGCCATGTACAGAATGAAGGTAGGAAATTAAGAAAGACAATGGTAGTGTAGCGCCTAGCGACGATTTTCATTAGTGTCTGATGGTAATGGACCCTCAAAGATAATTTAGACAGAGAAAAGCTACATTTTCTGACGATTTCGAGCGGAAAATAAGGCGTTCGACTGCAGGAAAGCAACGAATCCACAGCGTAAATTGATGTAAGAAGAAAAACGGGTAAATATAACTAGTGAGGTGACAATGAAAAGGCATATTTTAACATGACATCTGTCTGTTTAATTATTAAAATGAACACATGATAAGAGAAATTTCTTTAACGTATATTATCATAAACTGCCAAAGATCACTTATGATGTGCATAGCCACATATGACCTCAAGAGAAACTGCTCTTGAAATGAAATAAAGTGAATCAAACTGATAGGCTGCCGGTCACCGTAGCGTCTACAGGTAGAGGCCTTGCGACGAGCTGATCACTCGCCCAAGGAGTCCTACCGAATGTGTAAGATCTAGAAAAACCGAAGTGAACGGAGTTCATGGAGGTAGGCTTAGGCCCACTGGGGCTGTAGTGCCAGGGGGGGGGGANAACTGATAGGCTACTCTGACTCAGTAACAGGCGTACTGTGTCAGAAACACCTCTGAAGGTCAACCGTACCTTTAGAGATTTACCTCACAGAAGAAAACCTCTGTGTGCAATCAGATTTCCGGTACGGTGATTTTGGTTTCAGCTGTATTTTGAAAAAGAATCTAGTAACTTTCTAATGATGACGTAAAGATCATTATCATCACCTGGTGATTATGCACCCTCAAAGATGTTGCAGACACAGCAGAATAGTGGTACAGGTTAAACAGTGTTATTACGTTTTCCCGGAAAACTCGAAATAAAGATGAAATTCGACATTTCGAGTGACATGAAGTCAAGCAGGCTGATACGTGTTGAAGGACTAAAATCCCGAAATAATGAAAGAAATATACAAAATGAGCCGTATTTTTGAGAAGCTAAGAGTTACTCAGCTACAAAGTCCGAGAATTTAGCTGAATCCGAAAGCTCATCCACATTTTCTTGACCTCGGCACTAGCTGTAGGTGAGTAGTTACCTAGATCCACTCCGCCATACGCCTTCGTGGCTTAGTGCTTAATTTGTTGGGCACAGGAACAACTTTACCTTTTTACCTTTACCGAAAGCTCATTTCTATGTCCACAACAACAGACCACTGGTAACTAAATGCGAGTATCCATAATCTCAGGCCCTCAGCCAACATGACAAATTTAGTCGAAATAGGGGCAACAGTGACTAAATGCATACTGAACAAATAAGCGTAGACATACATTTCTTCATATATAGATAGCCTGAATAAACTTGTCTACAAAAGTTTGAGCTTGAATATCATGTAAGTACTTAATACAATTCTGACTCTGCAACGATTCCTCAGACTTCCTCATTACCTCTTTATTTCACATCATATCGTGACCCATACGAGTACATATTTGCAGTAGAATTAGTGTGTTCATCTCTTAAATTTAAATGTTTCGAAAATAAAGAAATACAAATAACAAATATTTTGATCTGGATGACATAAGAAAGAAGCACGTAACACATACCATTGCTGCCAAGTCCGTAATGGCGACCTCTGTGCTGAACTGAGGCCTGTTTGCTCCGTCAGGAAATATATAGAGCAACCACAACTGGTCCACCCCACCCAACCTCACTGCCTGAGCTCTAACTGTCACACGATCTGCTATATGTCTAAAACATGTCTAAATCATCTTTCATGTTGCGTCATCATCAGACAGCGACGCAGAGAGTTACTAGATCATGTTTTCACCACACGATGCGAATGAAGATCTCCACACCGGAGATCTCGCTGTCCACACGGGACTTTTCTTGCTTGCGGTTGCCTGCTCTGGACTCGTCAGTAGATACAGCGATGGGTTAGGTGGCCGGAGAATCGGGTTTCAGTTCAAAGTAGCACCAAAAGATCGTTCTCTTCTCACGTAGACAAGTCCACCCAACCTCCTAACCAGTGGATATCCCAGCGGTTGCGCGTGAAGCTTACCACCCTGTGCTTAGAAGACATACGGGAGAGTTTAGGTATAGCTCCATCATTCCTAACCTCGGCATTAGATGAGTGGTCAGGTTCATGCCCCGGCCAATTTACTCCCCATGGAAAGAGTCTCCTGTGCCCATTAGACAGGAGGCTGGGTGGGCGATAGAGCCGGTTTGGCCGCTGTGGAGTACAGAAGAATTTCTTGTTCCTGTTGAAAACCTGATTTTGGTCGTCCAGCCCGTTGTTGGACCGACTGAGCTATCGCGGCTTTCATCTTCCGTGAGGTTATCTACCCAGTGTACAGCTTGGCATCAAAAATATTTGAGACGCAGCAGCAAAAACAGCGAAGAGAAGACAGATAACATTAAATCTTCTATCGTGCCTAAAATATTAGTAATGAAAATTTACATATAATTATAAATCATTATTTATTGTATAACTGTCACACAGTACCGTAGCTGGTTGAGGCACTATGCTACAAGCCGGTAGGTCGCGGGATCAAGTCCCGATGAGGTCATTTGATTTTTTTTTTTAAATTAACATAATCCTTCCGGCCGGCCTATGGCCCTGGGGTCGACTCAGCCTGTAAGAGAAATGAGTACCAGGAATCAATTAAATAATTTTCCTGGGGAGTAAAGCGCGGCCGGCGCGTAAGGCTGACAACCTCACCGCCATCTTTGAGCCGATTGTCTAGAAAATGTGGGACCCTAAACGTCTCACAACCCTATGGGCCTTCACGGCCTGTTACAGGGATAACTTTACTTTTTTTTATACCTGTCAACACATTATTTTCAGTAGATGGAGTTGCGGTCTAGGACGGCACGTGTGTGTAACCATCAGGTCCTGTTTTTAATTACAAATATTGTATAATGTACATTGCGTAAATTTACATGTAAGCCGAGTGTGTCCACTGATGTCATATACTCGTATTATGTTACTACATACTTTATTATATACTATAGTGGGATCCGATTTTACGCCATTTCTTAGTACCGGCTACTTTAACATTTGAATATTTGGGGTTAATTTCTATTTGAGACAGATCTTATTTAAACATATATAATTGGGGTTGACATGAATACAATAAACATTATCTATACAGATTCACACAACAGACTGTAACAAAATGTGAGTTTATATAAATATTACTATTCGAATGTGATGAATATCCAAGAATCATAGACTACAATTCAAGGAGCATAAATGCCGGTCCCTCTGGCCACGTGAACGCTTGAGTAACTCTCGGTTGGAGCTCAGTATGCGGGAGCCTTAACTAAAACTTACAAGCCAACCACAACTTTGATTTCAATAGAACAGAAACACATATTTACGTGAACTTGCGTGAAGGCAGGTTCGAATACCTCCACCGTAACCCTGCGAATCGTAGAAGGCGATGAAAAGGGAACCCGGTGCCTGGGGGTATAACTGGGGGACATGAATACAGGGACCTAGTCCTCCAGGTTGGGAATTGGACGCAAGGCTGACGACCTTGCTCTGTAAAAACTTAACTGTTGGGAGATCCAAACAAGTGAAAACCGGACGCAATATGGAAGATTCTTCTAAGGAAGGCTATGGCTCAAAACGGGCGGTCTTGCCAATGATGATGTTGATGATTTATATAAATAATTTTATATTTAAATATATAATACATATTATTCAGAAAGAAATCTATTTCCGGCATCTTTTGTAGCTGTAAATAACATAATATTAACTAATATTTTCGCCAAATTACGACATATACTCTGTATACTTGATGCAACTTCGAGTTTATTAAGAACTGCATAGTTCCACCTTTCTCTTTAAACGGTATTAAACCTTGCCTTCTTTGCTCTTTTACATTTCTTGCGTTTGCTTTACATTGAGAGAAGCTTCTTGTCCGCAGTGAACACGCGGCACTGCAGGCATTTCTGCTGACAAAGCACATTAATAGTAGAAGGTGCTACACTTTCTGTTGCATCTGTCTGTGGCTCTATAGCCCCTGTGGACCTCGGCCGATATTTCAGTTTCTTAATCCGATACACAATCAGTAGGACTCCTTGGACGGGGGATCAGTCCGTCACAAGGCCGCCACCTACACACAGAACAGAAACACAGAATAAACGCACAGACATCCATGCTTCGAGTGGGATTCGAACCCACGATCCCAATGTTCGAGAGGACAAGACAGTTCATGCCTTAGACGGCTCTGCCACTTTCCACCGCGGCAGCACGGGTTCGATCCGCCCAACGGTTTAGGCGCTGATACTGGTCAGGACAGACGGACGGGCATAACGTTTGCATAAGGCGTTGTTTTCTGTTTTGTGAAAGACCACCTAATCTGATATACGGAAAACTAAAGGCTGTAGCGATTTCGTTGAACTGTTGCCTGCATCTTGACGGGCCATACTCGGCTATCAGATTCTATGTTTGTTCAAACTCAACATTACATTTCATTAGAACTTGTAACCTAATTTCTCCGAAAAGCGTATCGCAGTTACTCGTGTCCTGTGAGCTCTTTGAGTTGCCATCAGCTTTCGAAATGGCGTGCAGACATATATTTTCTCTCCAATTCAACAACCTGCTCTCATTTTAGGGGTCGCCGACAGGCAACTGCCGCGCCCCACACAGGCTTCTGTCGCTTTCACCGCCTCGCCAGCTCTAGTCCGCTGAGTTATGAGGCGCAACTGACTCGTAACTCTCACAGAAATTTGTTGCAATGTCTGTGATAATTTTGTATAAAGACCACAAAACTAACATAACCTACGCAAACACACTAGTCTCTTGGACCTGTCTCTGTCTAAAACATCTCTGCAGGTACGTCAGATATTGATTACGCAACCGTAAGGAAGAGCCGCGATGGCTCGGTCGGTATAGCGACGGTCCAGGGCGTCTAGGGACTGGCCGGCCTCCAGCCTTCTTATCCAATGGGTATTTGGGGCTCTTTTCCCGGGAGTAAAGCGGCACATGCGCTAAGATGATCACTCACCTCCATCTAGCGCCGAAGTCAATAATGGTGGAGCTATATATCCACTCCTCCATACATCTTCATGGCGTGATGCGTAATTAAGCACAGAGACAACTATACCTTTACCTTTCGGAATGGAAGTCCCGCGTGTTTGAGACTTCGGTCCCGACCGTATACTGAGAATATATTTCTTAAGTTTCTAAAGACAACAATGATACAAATCACTACCTGATGATGAATAATTTGTTTAGTGGTAGCTAATGCGTTTCACTTGCGTACGAGAAGGACCTGGTTTGAATCCTAAGCTGAACAGAGTATCCTGATTGAATAACGCCTGAGGATTAGACACTATCATTTCATTTGCAGTTGAAACAGTATCATGAACCCATGAGACAAGCTCAAGCCTATACGTAAGATGACAAATGTTCCGTCACAGGCGTTATTTGCGGTTCACTGAAAGATGCTGTCAGCATCTCGGATTATACAGTGTCAAATGACAGAAAACTGAATAATTCGATGGAGCTGAGAAGGCGCCAGTCGCTCTGCTACTCAAGAATTCCCGAACATTTTATGGGTCCATGTTCACAAGAACCATTTACTCCTGAGCCAGTTCAGTGCAGTCCATATCACTACATCCTATTTCTCCAAGATAAATTTAACATTATCCCCTCACCTAAATCCAGGCCTTCTTAGTGGTTTTCTTCCCTACGGCTTTCCCACCAAAATTTTATATACAAATCTCCTCTCATGTAAGCATCCTACATGTCCTGCCCATCTCATCCTCCTTAACTTTATCATTATAAATATAATTGAATAAGAGAGCATTTGTCGGTCACGGTAGCCGAGCGGTCTAAGGCGTGCACTCTCTTCGCTCGCTCAGAAGCCGGGATCGTGGGTTCGGATCTGTTTCCTGTGAGGTACGAACTGAATTCTTATATATTATTCTTATACACTGCCGGTCACGGTAGCCGAGCGGTCTAAGGCGTGCACTGTCTTCGCTCGCTCGGAAGCCAGGATCGTGGGTTTCAATCCCACTCAGGGCATGGATGTTTGTGTACAGGTAGAGGCCTTGCGACGAGCTGATCACCCGCCCAAGGAGTCCTACCGAATGTGTAGGATCTAGAAAAACCGAAGTGAACGGAGAAGTTCATGGAGGTGGGCCTAGGCCCAATGGGGCTGTAGTGCCAAGGGAGGAAGGGGGGAAAAAAAAAGGCATTTGGTCGAGTTAAGCAGAAGCGATATGGAAGGAATCAGCCTGCCTTAATTTGACACGTGTTGGAAATGAGGCTTCAGAGCGACAACTATTAAAAATACTATGTTCTCGGACGTGACGCCGTGTAGTCTGGTAGATTGTTACTAACGTTTCGGAGTAGTTACTGCCTCCATATTTTGTGTCCAACAATTAAGACAAGTAAGGAAACAGCTGGACGCAACAAGCACTATGGCCGATGCGTGTTCGTTTATTGCTTGGAGGCACGTTCCTCCGAAACGTCGGTGGACTCCTACCGGCCTACACGATCTCACATCCCATAATACGAGTATACTACTTTTCATAACTTCAGGTAATTTTTAAGCATCTTCTTGGAAGGAGTAAGAGAAACAGAAGAACCTGTCTGGATAGTCGATCTCAGGGCGGAGACATCAACTCGGAACTTCCTGAATAAGGAGTGCTGCCCAGTAGGCCGCGACGCGGGTGTGCGGAGGACAGAATCCTGCCTGGGGCAACTGTCCGCAAAATAGATGCTGCCATACAACAGAACTGCGACCCGTGTTCACTTTCTCACGAAACCTGTTTACGCTGTCCACACATTTGTTACTTTCTATAAGAACATCTCACTAATTCGAATGCACTGAAAG